GGTCGGTCGGTGGTGCCTTGCCGAGAAGCCCTGAGGTACTGAGCCGCCCGCCTGCCGCTTCTCCGCCATAACACCCGCTCCACGGTCGTTCAGCCGGTCCTTGGGCCCCTTTTGAGCTTTTCACAGGACGATTTGCTTGCCTGGTCTTCAGCTGGCGCGGCTGGTGGGTTTCTTTACGTTTTCAAGCTGAATTTGCTCTTTTTTCCAAGTTGTTTTCTACTTTTGTAGGAGTTGTTTGGAAATTATAAAGCTGGAGGGCTCAGCACCGAGAGAAGGGAAACTCTTGAGCTGCTCTCCTGCGTTTTTGGGCACCGTGTTGGGTGGGAAGGGGAAAACCTCGGCGCTGTTGGAATCCGAAGCCGGCCGGGGAGCAACTGCTTTCCCCGGGGATTTTGTGGGTGAAATGCTGGAGGAGCGAGGTCCGTTCACACCATCACTCGGTTCCTGCGCTCGTTTGATGCAGTAATTAGCCGCTGGTGTGAAAGTGAAGGAAGACTCTTCCTGCTTGTTTCGAATGCGTGTTGGCCTTAAGAGATACAGCTTCACAGGGCTAATTAACAGCAGGGAGTAAAAGAATGTTTGTTATAAACTCAGGCTGCTCTCACGTTCATTAAGGAGCGCATCCTTATATCCCCCCCACCCGCAGCACTTTTTTCCCTGGCTGCTTTTTATTTTCACCATTGCCTTTCAAACTTAAAAAACCATACAAATAGTTTTTACTCTGAATAAGGTTAAAGCTTCCCTGCTCTCTTTAGCAGGAGTTTTCCCACAAAAACTCCTAAAAGCCCCGTTATTCTTTGGATATGTACCGTGTACTCCCATCAAACAGTTCACAGCGTGGTTTTAAGAATAAACATAGGCAGCGCCGTTGCTCGTAGGGACGTACGTTATAATGTGAAGAATTAAGCTGGTAATTAAGTCAGTAACGAGTTTGTGTTGCCCGGTAGCTTTACAGGGCAGCAAAGGCCCCCCCCCCCCACCCGCCCCTGGGTTGTGTGAGATGCCCTGGGGCTGTCGCTTTGCTGAGCTTGGATTATTGGCTTCTGGTTTTTGTATCTGCATCGTCCGTCAAAGTTTCGGGGTCATCTGAGTGACTTAAAACACTCGCTGTAGTTTTATGGAGGTTTGGTTTTACCTGTTTGTGGCACAGCAACTTCAGGTTAAGCTTAAGTGCTCTATTTAAGCTCTGTTTAAGCTTGTCGTGGCAAAGTTTAGCTCAATTTAGGCAAGAAAATGAACCAAAGTGCTTTGGGCAACCGAAATATTGAAGATTACAACCCTGCAAACACTTAAAAGGCTGCTGTAACTTTAGTGCATAAGTAATTCATCTTTGGTGGGATTATCACCAACATAAGTGTTTGCAGAGATTAATGTAAATTGAATTTGCATTACTATGAGTTTCTAGTATTCAGTTTAAGGCTGTGTGGGTTAAAGGTGGCCCTTGGCCGTTT